CGGTAAGAAAATTTCACACCTAAATTTGAAAAAAAATATTAATCCAACATGACATTTTAAAATAATTTCAATTTGTTAATAATATTAACAAATATTATTATATTTTTAATTAGTTACATCAAATGCTAAAACTCAAATGGGTAATATTTCAATATATAGACATTGTAGTTCATTCACATTATGATTGTAGATCTTATGTTTACCTTTTCAACTGTCAAAAAATTTCCACTAAAGTTTCGTGGCTCCTCGAAAACATTTCCGGAAATTTTTTCAGTTGCCATGGTAACTAGTCAACATTAAAGCATGTTATTGGTTGAAAAGTAGAGGTGTGAAATTTTCAGATGAATGAATTTGTATCTGTGCCTTGTATTATTTTTAAGTGAGTTTGTATGTTATCTGAGGGAATTTAATTGACGGGTGTTGGTTTTGTTTAAACTGGAGAATATTTCCTTACCAATATGATGTTACTGTTTTGTTTATTCTATTATACAGGGCGGTCCGAACTGTATTCCGGAAACTTCAGCGGCATATTCTGCAGATAAAAATAAGTAAAAAAGTGCGTATAAATATATATCCTAAAATGCTTAGTTTCGGAGATACAGGGTGTAGAAGTTTCATTTTTATTTCGGTTTTTTTCAAATAATTTCTAAAGTAACCTCAATATTTGGTGTCTGGGAGTTTTTTGACATGATGACATGAGAAATTTGATTTTGATGTCAATATGACTCCTACTTGTAGAGGGCGCCACCTACATATTTTTTAACTGGTTTGAAGAGTAATAACTTTTCGTCCGTACCTGTATAAATCTACTGAGTGAAAAAATATACATTTACGTGATTTTTTACGTAAAAAATATCTCTAGGTAAAAATCGCTCTGAGCAACTGTTCTCAAGATATGTAGAGTGGAAATAGACAATACATGTCATTATTGACAAAAAATAAACAGACTGAGTACATAGTTATTTGACTGAAATGATAAATTTGGGAACTTTTTATTTTTTTAAATTAATCATAATTTTTTTTTCGAAAAAAATGATAATAAAACAGTTTGTGTTAAACTTTAAAAAAAACTTTCAAACTTATGATTTAGTATAATAACTATTTAGTGAACATGTTTAATTTATGTCAATGACGATAGGTATTGATAATTTTGATTCCAAATATCTCGAGAACTAAAAATCAAATTTCTCATATCAAAAAACTTACAGACACCAATTTTCATCGAAATATTGACGCTACTTTAGAAATTATTTGGAAAAAATTGAAATAAAAATGAAACTTCTACACCCTGTATCTCCGAAAGTAAGCATTTTAGGACCTATAAAACCCGACCGGGGCTGGAAGAAAATCAACAATACCCTGTCACCTTTATATACAACAGAATCGCCCGCCCCTGCTTCAATTATGTCATTAATAACGTGCAACTGCAAACAAGATTTTGTACAAAAGATGTAGTTGCATTTAAGCCGGCATGAAATGTACCTGATACAACTATGTGCGGAACCTGTCGTGGGCAAAGATGTTCGAATACTGAGCACATTCTAGAAACTATAGACGATGACAATATGTAGATGAAAGTATGAATATTAGATTAGTGTAATATAGGCAATGTTTTTGTTTATATTATACAGTATTATATCTGTTGCGTATATATTTAGCACGTTAAAATACTTTAGGAGACTATAATTTGAAAGGCGACCTGGTAATTTTTTTTGTACTCCATTTTTCAAACGGATATTGCTCGAAATGCATTGGATAAATATAAATAATGAATAGAAGCTTTTTTGTAGCAAATTTTATAAGGAATATTTTCGGTAAGTATAATTTTTTTTGATACCAACGGGTTCTAAAAAAAAAGCGAAAACCCATCGAAAAGCATATTGGGGGTGAAGCTCACACTTTAAAGTTAAGAACTCTTTTGATTTTGAAAAGTCTCCTTTTGGTGCGTCTAATCTCAACATATCAAAACTTTATAATTTTTTTCTTCTATTCGGCTATTTTAGGTCTAATATAAATATACTAATTGCTAAATTGACTAAACATGATGTAAAACAAAGGTAAAGAAAAAATATTTAAAATTGGTATATTGTTTCTAAAAAAATATTTTATAGTAAGTTCCATACAAAACGTATGATACCTATATTTTTTAATAGAAGTAGGTACTGTCATTGTAGCTAACAAAAACAAAAATTTAAAAAATAAAACGAGAAAAAGATAATTTGTTTTTTCTCTCCAAGAGAAGAGGAAACGTGATCTAATCCTGCTTTAATTTCAAAATTATAAAGCGCAATTCTCGACAAAGTCATTAAGTGAAAAAGGCAACTGCCGAAATTAAACCTTCCCTAAAATATATATTCTTGTGTTATTACATTTTGAAGAAATAACAACCGGATCAGGTTGTAACATATAATTTCAAGGCAGGGCAGGCTTTAAATATATTTTTTTGTTATTATAGCTAATCTTATAATTAAAAAGTTGCAAATATACAGTGCAATATATGAGATAAAATGCAAAAATAAAAAATGAAAAAATGAAACTAAAAAATATTTTTCTATACTTTATACTTTTGGTTAAATTAGTTTTTATTTATTGTTATTGTTCGAATAATATAGATTTAAGCGGCCCACACATTATCAAACAAATTGCACAACGCAGGCTGTTGCGCAACGAGTTGCCAATGTATGGTAGTGTTTGATACGTTGCGCAATTCTTTCATGAGTTTCAAGAATGTTTGAATTCATTTGTGCAGCAGGTGTAGTGTATGTGTGTGTTACGCTTCGTTGTGCAATATTTTAGTTCTTTCATCCAAATTCTTTGTTTTCTTTATCGTTTTTTGGTATCATCGACATCATCTAGGGTATATACGATAATAATTGACGCAGTGGCAATTGAGGACATGTTTGTTTCTCAAACAATGCACAACTTTAATAAAAAGTTTGATTAAAATTTTACTAAGCGCATGGGTGATGCAGTTGCGCTTTGTTGCACAACTTGTTTGATAGTGTATGGACCGCTGAATCAGTTGTGCAACGCAGCTTTGCGCATCGCTTTGTTGCGCAATTTGTTTGATAATGTATGGGCCGCTTTATAAATAATTATTAATTATTTATAAGGAATTATATTATTTATAATTATTAATTATTAATAATACCATTATTTTTTCTTATAAAATAAGTGTTTTTTCCTAATTTATTGGTTCCGGTTAATAAATAGATTGTTAGATATACAAGGTGGCCCAGAAATTAGTGTAGGTATTTTAACTGGTAGTATACTTCGACACCGTTCTATCGTTCTTCTTGCGAAAAAATGTTGAAAATTTTATTTTTTCTTGGCATTTTCCGGAAAATATTGAAAAACTTTTGAGTGCCGCTTGTTCAGTTTACGGAAACTTTTTATAATGCTTTGAGAGAATACAATGTTGCCACCTCCTACGTTATCTATATTCTGTATGTTTATAAGTTATAAGTTCACATTTCTATAAAGTTTCTACAAAAAAAAATACTTAAATTAATTGTATTCACTGTAGATTACTATTGTTACGTTTTTCGTCGGTTCCGTGTGGATAGAAAGTCTAATTTATCTAAACACAATTTATTTTACACTAAGTAACAAAACAATAACGATAACACTACTTAAAGAACTATTTACCACTTATTTACTATTTATCTAACTATAGAATATACGTTCATTATATATAGTGTGCATAATTTATAATGAAATTTTGTTCAATTAGAATAAGTATGGCAATATCTGAAATCTCCTCGAAGTCGCACTTTAAAGGGACGAGGTCACTGAGAGCCGAAGCCAAAAACGTTTCATCTTTTGCCGGCTGTCCTGTCTTTGTAGTCTTTGCCCACAGCTAAACAGTTCTCAAATAGTCCATTAGATCATTAGGTGCATAGAGAAGGTTTAGAATGTTCTCGTATGTACGCCACCATTCCAGTGGAACTCGATGAAAAACGTTCGATGAGTCATTACGGTGTCTCTTCTTTAATGCAATTGCAGGTTATAGGGGGTCGGGACATATTAGTCAGGTTAGGCCGAGTCCACACGGGTCCACAACACTATTGAGTTATAATGCAACGTCTACTATATTTTAATTACCTCTTTTACAGTTTAGTATTCGTTTGAGATTTTACTCAGATCAGTAAACCTCTGACAAAACTAAAAGAAAATAGGCAAATGTTAGATAAGCCTGTAAAAATAATTGATTTATTATTAATAGAAATATCAATTATTTTGGTGTTTATTCACAAAAACAAGAGTGTGAGATAGAAGAACAGAAGAGTTTAAATTATCAAAAATGAATCCTAAATAATTCAGATGGCATATGAATGAATTTTATGCAAAATACACGTGGGTATTTAAGTGTAGTGCTATCAAGAATCGCAGTGACCTGAAGTGTTGTTAAGTGTAGAGTTGCGGTTTTAGGTAAAGTGATAAAACGACGTGAGATACTACCAGAGCTGCAACAAGTCAGTTTTAAAAAGTCATTTCTGAAATCAAAATGACGTTCATATCATAAAGTTCAAATGATTTAAGTCTTAAGTCTTTGACTCAAGTCATTTTATTTCAAGTCAAGTCATTTTTGCAAAGACTTAAATCAATATAACGTTATTTAAGTTGTTTTTGTGACTTAAGTCTATATTTTTGACTTAAATTATGATGATCTGTAAGTTAAGTCAGTAAAACGACTTAAATCAATGTAATTACCAATTACCCTCAAGTCAAGACAACCAGAATTCAATTTAAGTACTTTTATTAAATCTTAATATTAATTTTCTTGTATTGCCAATTAGCGGTTTTCTTCCTAAGTATATTTAATTTATTGTAGATACAGATGAGACTAAAACCCCATAAAATAAAACGGTTAATTTTCAGTTGCTGTTAAAAATGTGTTATAAAAATATATAAAAATCTGACTGAAGCCTTCTATAAAAAGACAAAATCAAACCAAATCTTTTTAATAGGTCATATTTATAAAAATGAAGCATTTACTTTCAAGTAAAAGGTAGAAGGTAGAAGTAAAAGGTTTTGCTACAATTCGTATTTATAATCTCTACCTTTTCCTTGCAGGGAAATGCTTTGGATAAATAAAGTAAAAGATACAGAGATACAATTATAACTTTAGGAATACTGGTAAATTTCAATCTGCATCCATAGTTTTGAATAGGAAATCGCCGTTTCAGTTGCCTAAATGTATGCTCAATCACAACTCGCTCTGATTTGAGCAGCCTGTTGAAGGCTATCTGATATTCCTCGAGGAGGTTGGGATAGGGAGTCATGAGACATGACATTATACCATATCCACTGTCCCCTAGTAGTATAGTGTTTCTTGTCCTATTCATGACTTCACATACTGCCGAATTCTTCCATATGCGAGAATCATGAACAGATCCAGGCCAACTTGCATCTATACTAGTTATAACACAATTCTGATCGCATGTGGTCTGCACAGTAATACTGCTAAAACCTTTTCGATTTATATATTCGTCTCTAAATTGGGCTGGCTTTTCAATACGAACGTGCATGCAGTCAGTAACCCCAATGGCTGTTGGGAAATGGAACCTGGTCAACCACTTTTCTTTGGCCTGCATGATCTGATTTTCTGTGTTTGGGAACCGAATTCATTCGCCAACCTGTTGTACAAGCTGTCCAAGCACCTCATGAAATATTCTGGACACTATGGGCTGCGTACACCAATTCTTCAGCAATTCCGCTCTGTAATCCGGGATTCGTACAATAACGCAGAACTACTTTCATTTTCTGCACAGGTGATAGGGCTGCTCCACGTGTTTCACGATCCGCGCCAAGAAAGTGGTTCGCCATAACAAACACAACACTGAAACCACACAACCAAAGATTACTAGGTAGATGTTAACACACAAAAACACTCCTACAAATAGACAATTTTTTACGTTCCGAGCTGTTTGATGGTTGGCCAACTACTGAAACTAGTGAGAAAAGTTGTTGTGAACTTAGATTCCTTTTTTAGAAGTAAAACCTTTATTTTTTAAGCAAATGCTTCTTTTTATAAACACGAAAAACAAAAGACATTTTACTTTAAAGCAAATCCACCGAAGACTTACCTTTTCCTTCACTTTTCTTTATGCATATACCTTGAAGGAATTGCTTCATTTTTTGAAAGCATAAGGTACGGCCTCTTTTTATAAATACAGCCTAATGACTTAAGTCTTTTATAAAAAGACTTAAATCTTTTTCTATGTCGAAATAAAGATTTAAATCACAAATCATTTTCAAAAACACTTAAATTTTAAGTCTTAAGTCAGCTTTCGAAAAATTACTTAAAATCAAATCGCCACCTAGTAAAAACTACAACTCGAAAATTGGCTGTTTGTATCTGTTTGTAGTTTTAGTAACTACACCAACCTGTGTTATTTTGGATTGTCTTTCTATTTGCAACAACTAGATAACTTAAAAGTGACGCCATCCACTTTATATTTGAAGTGTCAAACGTAGATATTTTCCAAATAGATTTCCAGGATATGGCAACAACTAGACAGCTCAAGTTGTGAAAACTATGATTAGGGATACCTAGTTGTTGTTTTGACGTAGCGAAATGACTTAAGTCCTTGAAATGATTTAAATCGAAAAAAGACTTAAGTTTTCTCTGAGCTTGCAGCTCTGGATACTACCTAAAAGTCCACAATTGCTAAAAATCTTGGCAGTTTTAGAGTTAGCCTAAATGGGTACGATTTTATACTATTTTATATTATAAATATTTTATATTAAAAAAAACATACTTTGAATAATTATTATGAATATGCGATTTTGATAAAAACTAAATAAATTAAAATCGAAATTCCATAAATTTTACTAATTCCCATCCTGTTACCGAGTAAATAATTAATTTTAATTGTTGAGTTATACGAATGAAAAATACCTGGTTCCTCGCAAAGCTTGTTTTTCTTGTCAAACAATTTTTCTCTCTTTTTTATAAGCCCCTTTTCAACGTCCTGGGGATATACAGTATTTGTGGAATATATTTTATTTTTTATATTGCCATTTATACTCAGAGGAAATGTATGGAATATGAACTGAAAAATTCTATTGAATTTATGTTCAAGAGATGAAAAATATATTCTTTATTTTATTATCAATAATAAAATATTTTGTATCTTGTTATTAAATTACTGGATGTTGATGTAGATCATTTTAAATAGAACGACGCATTATATTTTCTACATGCATTTTGTTTAGATGTTCTTTACTTGATGACGTAAAAAATCCATAGGTCTTCTTCTTCTTCCGGTCCCATATACAGTCTTGCACATTGCGGATCATTTGTACACTCTCCTCAGTTGATTGTAACGGCATTGTCTTCTGTCCGACGGAATATGGTTATCTCTCTGTAAATCTAAGATTTTTTTGGAGTACTATAGTCTCGGAGCCAATGACTAATATCATCTGAGACTAAATTGTTACCATACTCCCAAACAGTGCCGTGGCACATATTTTTCTTAACATAGCTGCTTGAAAAGATACTTATATTTTTGATAAATGTTTTGACTACGTCTGTGGTGTATGCGGTGGTACCATACTAATTAATTATGAAAAAAACGTATTAAAATATAAAGGCCTTTACATTATGTAAATACAAAAGGTACAAAACTAGTATCGACGTTTGTAGCACATATGAATTACATATATCAGAAAAATAATTATCGAATTCAATAAAAAAAGCTAAAAAGTGGAGTGGGCTGTTTATTTACCTCATGGCTCTTTCTTATCGCTGTGGCTTTTACACTTGAAAGCTGAACAACTAATCACCATTGTAATAAAGTTTATACAAAGTTCACTACATACGAACTATTAGAAATTGCTAAAATTGTTACTTTTTCGCACAATTCTTTACTTTCAAAAAAATGGCGTCTAATATCACAAATTCTGCTGCAGCCCGGATATGGGCGTTACATGTATTCTTTAGTTATTGCTCGGAGCGGTATCTCACAGAGCACTCACTCTCTCCTTAGACTGACTGAAGAACATTATCCGCTAAACATCACCCCTTATTCCTGCCATGTCCACCTGGATCCATTGCACGCATCTCCTCAAGTAGCTATCTTGACTTGATCTAAGCTTGACTCCTATATTCTCCCCTTCTCTGCAAACTGGCGCTACCCTTGATCTTACCTAAATGATGACAGGACGTCAATTTGGTTCCCTGCATGGTTGCAGTTTTGACAGACTTTCTAGGGACCAGGAATTAATTTCGAGGCCCGGTTCTTTGAGAGCTCAAAGAAACGGAAATCTCCGATACTTTGGAGACCGGGACTTCCCGGTTCTGAATCCTAGTAGGAATAAACTAATATTAGAAAAAATTTCCATTACTTTATTGACTTTGATTCTCTTTATCCATTTAAAAAAACGAAGAAAAATTATTTTATATTTTAGAAAGTTTGGCTTAGAATTTTGAACATCCTGTATAATTTACGATTTTCATATTTATAGCAAAGTAAGTACAGACCATCTAAAGTAAATACCTAATATAGTTTTGTTTTCAGAACAGTTTTTGTATTTTTAATAATTTTTTTAAGAAGGGCTGAAAAAATATATATTTTTGATATATTTTTTAATATCTCTGAAACTAATCAAAATGTATTTATTCATATCTTAGGGTTATGTAAAGTGATCGGAAAGGAAGCCAAAAATGTAATAATATACAGCGTGTTCCATTTAAAAAAAATCATCCAGGTCCACTCACACTTTTTTGAGCCACTCTATAGAAGTTAAAATATTTTCCTGAAATACATCCTGGTACATACTTTAGATTTGCACTAAGACAAAATTCTCAAGTTTTTTTATTCTAGGAGCTATAGATGTCCGACGCACTATTGCCGGACCCTGTATATAAAATCGAATAAACACTTACCTAAATCATTTAGTATTCCAAATGACTGCAAAGTGATTCATGGCTACTCCAAACTCTATAAGAAACATACACTATACGAACAGGGATGTGCATTCGCCATTGTTTCCTAGCTTCAATCTATTGAGGTGTTCATTGAAGAGTCAGTGTCCTGTTAAAACCCCCGGACATTGCGAAGATTGTTGTTTCTTACATCAAGGAAAATCTTTGATTTTTCTTGGTCGTAAGTTCTGATAACTTTCTTCGAGTTTCTTAGACCGTTGGAGAATTCCCATTCCAGGTTACTTCTTCCAGGTTCTTGAGTTCTGCTTTAAGTTGGTTTCCACTTGACAAGCAGAACTACTGTTCACTCCATTTATAATTAGATTGTTGGTGGATAAACAGAGAAGGTATCGTAGATGTGGATAATAATGGGATTAATAGGTACCTTTTATATGTTTGCCAACTTTCAAAATAAAAAATAGAGGATGAGAGGGTAAACAAAAGACACAGGCGAAATATTTTTGAAACCTCGCCCAAATGTCTAGAATTTACTAAAAAGTAATATCTATGGTATGATGCGATTGATGGTCTTTCTTACTTTCTTAAAAATATTTATACTCAAAACTTGTTAAAATAAAACCAACCATTTTCAACAAAACTTTTTTTAAAAAATAAGCTAACAGTAAGTAAACATAAAATAGTTAAAATATTTCTTAATTTCTTTTCTGTACAAACGAGTGGGAGTAGTGAAAGACACAGATTATCTAACAATTTTTTATAGGATTGTGACAATAAAGGAATATTTTTTTTTAGATTTTGAGTTTGGTATGTAAAAAAAATCAACTTTCAATATGTGAGAGAAAAGAGGACAGCGAGATCAAAAAGAGGACTGTCCTCTGGAATAGAGGACGGTTGGCAACAATACTTTTACATACAAATTATTTTGTAGAAAAATGTCATATCAAAAAATTTATACAAAAAACGCATTTACTAACAAGGCTAAATGTTTACGATGTTGTTTATTTGCACCCTATATATCGTTTCCTTCAAATCTACTTTGGCTCTTATTGGATTTGGGGAAGAAAGACTGAGAGGGCCTAGTTCTTAGCGGGTCCACGGACATCCTTAAAAATAATTACCGTCCTGATGATTAATGAATCTTCGAAACTCTGCCCCAGCGCTTGTTTTATTTCCAAAATTATGTCAGTTTGTAATAAAGTTTCGGATAATAATGACTTTGTCTTTGTCTCCCTCTTTTCTGAAGTTTCGAAATTATTATGGAGTTAAAATTATGGCTCATCCGTTTGTCTTATATACAGCAGGGTTTTTTTTTTCATTTGGGAATAAACATTTTTAACAATTTTGGAGTTGAACATTTTAAATCTATCTGATAATTTGTAATATTTTTTTGAAGTAATACTTCATTACGCGCGTCGGAATTAAAAATTCAAGGCCGTGACACATATTGTTATTAAAATGTTAAAGAAGCAAAAATATTATTTAGTTCAATGCTATATGGAAAGGGTGATAATAGCTCTAAACTATCCCCGAAATGTTTCACGAAATATTTCTGGAAATATTTCGTGAAACATTTCGCAAAACTTTTCTGGAAATAGTGCGATAGCCCACACGATTCCTGAAATAGATCGAGACCCGCCGTGATTGGTTGTTTGCTTATTCTTAACCCAGATTAACAATAAAAACCCAACAACCAACACGGCTCTT